CTGCTGTACCCCCTGCCTGGCACTCTGTTCACCCATCTTCCTCAGGGAGGCCTTCCCTGACCTCCCACCAGCAGCCGATCCTCAGAGCTCAGCCTTCCCTTCCCCTCACAGCACTTGCCTCTGTCACCTGCATGACTATGTGGGTAATGTCGCCTCTCCCACTGGACTGTGAGTTCCACAAGGCAGGGACACAGTCTGTCCTAGCCCCCATTGTGTCCCCAGTTCCACTCAGCACAGGGATGGGCCCATAGCTTTCATTATTTCAAGGCAGGAGTGGTGTACAGAACCACAGCACTTGTGCCAAGTGAAGGTAAAACAAAAAGTCCTGCATTCATTCATTCCACAAATATCACACCAACCCTGCGTCATCACTGCTCGGGTCACCAGGGATTCAGCAGTGACCAAAACAGAACTCCCTGCCATTGGGGAGCCGGGGGGATGATGGAACAGGCAGCAAAATAAAAAATAAACATATAAACAAATTAGGATAGCCAAAGCTGACAAATGCCATGGAGAAAAGGAGCACTCGGAAGATTCAGTGCAGGGAAAGGGAGCAGGGGTTTCCGATTTAAAACAGGATGGTGACAGAACGGCGCACTGAGGCTGTGCAGTCTGAGCAGAACCGGAAGCAGGTGAGAGCGCCAGGGGAAGACCTGAGGAGGAACACTGCAGGCAGGCAGGCAGGCAGGCAGGCAGGCAGGGGAGGAGCAGGGCTGAGGCACCCACAGGAGCTGGTGAAGGGGAGGGCTGGGAGATGTAGCTAGAGGAAGCTGGGGACCGCTGGGCAGGGCCTTGGGGGCCACTGTCAGCACTGTGGCTCTTATTTGGAGTGAGAGGGGAACTCTCAGCCTGAGGAGCGCTGGGGAGTGGGGGAGGGGCAGCAGGTGGAACCCCTTGCACCCAGGGTGGGGCAGGAGTCCTTAGGAAGACAGCCTTCCTCTCCAGGAGCTGTCCTCAGAATAAGCCCTGGGCACTGGCCTGATGGGCTCGCCACAGGCCTCAGTTGAGAACCATGAGGACCCGTATGCAGCAGATGAGAAAACCGAGAATGGGAGAGATTCGGTGAATACCTACAGCTAGAGACAGCAGGGACACAGCCAAGGAGCCCGGACCCCTGTCCTCCGAGCCCTTAGTGGCCTCCACCTCCCTCTGCCTTTGCTCCCAAGAGACAGGGCCACCTCCCATCTTGTGTCACCTCCTCCTACATCCCGGCCAGCCCTCCCTTACCGTCCCTGATGTGCACACATGCGCGGGAGCCCTCCAGTCGGACTGCATGGGGCGTCCCTGACCCACGTCGCTCTGCATCGCCACCACCTCCCTGGGAGCTCCGGGACAGGGCCCAGTGGCAGAAGGAGAAACCGGTGGGTCTGCATCAAGGCTAATACTCAGTGAGTGCTCACAAAACGCCAGGCATGGATTAATGTTCATCTTCAGAGCCAGCCTGTGTTACTATCCCCATTCCTCACATGGGAAAACTGAGGCCCAGGGAGAAAGTCACATGCACACAGTCACAGTGAGTGGGTGCAGGACAGGGGCCGCAACCAGAGCAGAACTAGCCCACAGACCTTTCCATAACGACGGAAACGTGGTTACTAAACGTTTGAACGATGGCCAGTGCAACTAAAGAACTGACTTTTTACTTTTATTTAATTGTAATTAATTAAAACTTAAAAAGCCATATGTGAGGCCGGGCACGATGGCTCATGCCTGTAATCACAGCACTTTGGGAGGCTGAAGTGGGTGAATCACGAGGTCAGGAGTTCAAGAACAGCCTGGCCAAGATGATGAAACCCTGTCTCTACTAAAAATACAAAAATTAGCCAGGCGTGGTGGTGGACGCCTGTAATCCCAGCTACTTGGGAGGCTGAGGCAGAGAATTGCTTGAACCCAGGAGACAGAGGTTGCAGTGAGCCAAGATCGCACCACCACCCTCCAGCCTAGGTGACAGAGTAAGATTCCGTCTCAAAAAAAAAAGTCCATACATAGCTAGTAGCTACCATTCTGGAGTGCAGCTCTATAGAATCCCTGCTAATTAAGCTTAAGCACCAGGAGTCTAAAGGCAGGAGGCGGGAGTGTGACTCTCACAGGCCCAAGAGGAGCCAGATCATCCCAGCCCGGCTAGAAGCTCCCATGCTATACCCCATCTCTCCCGCATCCCAACGCCTTACCTGGGGAACTGGAGCAGGACTCAGGCCCAAACTCACACCTCTAGCCAACTCAAACCCTGACTCTACCACTTCCACACTACACAGGTTCTCTGAACCTCAGCTTCCGCATCTGTAAAATGGAATCTTTTTTTTTTTTTCTTTTGGGACAGAGTTTCGCTCTGTCGCCAGGCTGGAGTGCAGTGGCCAGATCTTGACTCACTGCAACCTCTGCTTCCCAGGTGCAAGCGATTCTCCTGCCTCAGCCTCCCA